AATGCATCAGTAAGAGGGAGTAAATCAGTACATTTACTTTGATAATTTAGCTACATTTTACTGCGAATAATTATGTATTTTAACTTGAGCGGGATTTGTCATGCATGGTTTGTAATGGAGTATTTTAGCATTGCTTTGGTGTTTTTTACTTAGGTAAATTATTTGAATTTTGTCAAGACCTCTACCAAAAAGGAAAGCACATGGGTATGTAGCTAGCCAAACTATTAGAAAAGCTTTTGTGCTGGCATCAAGGACTAATGCATGCACTCACCTGCATGGCCATTTTAGGCCTTACTAGGTCGGTTTCACACATTTTATTTTTCATGCGTGTACTCCTGCTTTCCTCCTCGGCCCATATATCCTTACCGAGAAGGAACGAGTTCTTCCTCGAAACTAGTTCTTGGTAGGAGTCTGATATAACGAGAATAGTATGAAAATGTAAGTTTAGCCAAGACAATCTTCCTAACAACGACAAAATTAAACAGAGCTGTTAGCTGAAATAGTTGGTAAAATAACAGGTATTCTCCATACTTGCCTCCAAATAACAGGACTTTAGCAGCCACCGTCCTCTTTGGTTCTTTTCTGGTCGGACACTTTATTTCTATCCAGTTCGCGTCTTCATCAAAGTCCGGCTGACATACCACTTGGGTGAACTGGTAGCTCCCAACAATAAGCGACGTCTCTCCACTTTTAGTGTTTTATTAAATAAGTAGTAAATGGCGAATTTGAATGACACTTTTGCTCTTAACCGTACAGTCTATCCTGCCAACCTGATTGACCCCGCTCTAATGGATGAGAACGTCCGCAGCGCTGGTTGGCTGAAAGTGAAAATCGAAATGATGCACTTGATTGGTCAGAGACTCGGCGCCAATCTAAAAAAAATAAGAATTTTAGAGACGTTTTATGCGGCCTGTTATAATACTATACCAAATCATCATGCCAGCAAAAAGAAACTGAAGAGACATTTGAATTCTCACGAGAGTCAACCAGAGACGCCAAAAACAACAAAATATAGAAGACTTCAACAAAACCAGGTAATGAAAACTACAATTGGTGAAATGCTGCAATGAAAATGTCAATTTTACTCTCCCGCCTGAAAAATGTTGTATTCTTTATAACATTACGAAGTTGTGAAATAGGCCTACATGTTTTTATGTGAAAATCATCAACTTGACTTCCCGTCAAAGACTTCTGCACTGACAGACCCCATACACTCATTAGAAACTTTAAAAAGTTATGTGTTATAGCTTCTGACTTTTACTGTGACATCTGCTGGAAAAATAGGTAGGCAGGTACATTATAATATCCCAGCCTGTTATGTTCCGGGGTTCTGGCTGCGTGGTGGGAGTTCCTGTGCGCCCTTATCACCTTTTACCACCAGATGGCGACAGGTTCCGGTTGGAGTGCGGCACATTATCATCCGCAGCTGTTCGTGATCATCTTCATCAGCGGCGCAGATTTAAGGAGTTGCCCGCCAGTCCAGCGTCGCCTGAGTGTTAGCCAGTCACGGTACCTCTGAGCCTGTCTCTGTGTTTCTAGTTGTCCTTGAACATTCTAGTAATTATCCTTGTTTGCTCCGTTGCCTTTAGGTGATCCCTTGATGAAATCCCGGTTGAATTCCTGGGTTTTGAACCAGCCTAGTGACGCCGTGGGAAGTACCCACAGGTTGCCCAGACTCACCTCTCCGTTGTTTTGCAATTATCTCCTGGACTCCACGGCTGGCGGCCGTCCCACTCCTCCGTTTCTCCGCTGCACCCGAGCCGCACTCCTCCGTTGTTCCTGGACCCACCAAGAACCGAGACCCCGGACATACATTGTTTCCCCTCCAAGACTCTGTTCATCCACTACAAGTAAGATCAAATAACAGGTCCAGTTTACTTTATAGCCAGATATATCTGAAAAAGTGTTAATTATTGTGAACAGAGAGTTAAAGGAATGCTCTGGGTCCGATACGAAAAGAAGAATGTCGTCGGCGTACAGCATAAGTTTATGACAATTACCCCCTACGCTTACACCTGGAATTGTGGGCTCTCTGCGTATAGCAACTGCCAATGGTTCAAGGGCAAGGGCAAAGAGAAGGGGGGAAAGAAGATCCCCCTGCCTAGTGCCGCGACCTAGTTCAAATGAGGGACCTATAATACCATTTGTAAGTACCGAAGCCTTGGGGTGGACGTATATGAGCCTAATCCAGTCAATAAAGCTTTTGCTGAAGCCAAAGCATTCCAGAGTTGTGAATTCAAGTTGCCATTCAACTCTGTCGAATGCCTTTTCGGCATCCAACGAGATAGCAGCCACTGGAGACTGACTATCCTGAACTGCCCACATGATGTCAATCAGTCGCCTAACGTTATCCGCTGAGGAGCGTGAGCGTATAAATCCAACCTGATCCGCATGAATGAGCGAGGTTATAACTTGATTTAATCGATTGGCCAGAACTTTAGATAAAATTTTACTATCATAAGAGGTCAAACTTATGGGACGGTAGCTTTTACAATCAGAAGCATCCTTATCTTTTTTCAAAATAAGCGTAATAATGGCCTCTGACAGCGAAGGTGGAAGCCTGCTGTAACAGCCGTATTTGTGGTGTCTCTTTAAGATGCTCTATTCTAA